GTTATCCCAGGCTTCACCGTCTCAGGTCGATCATTCCTATTCCCTTGGTTCAGCAACAACGACTCAATCCCCCGCGCCATAGCCGTCAACACCTGATCGCTTCCTGCAATATTGGTTGATGCCACCGCCGGAGGCTGCTGTAGACCCATAGGTGGGGGCCCCGAAGACATAGGCACTGGCCCGCTCGACTTATTGTTACCACCACCATTCCCAAATCCCAACAAGCCTTGAAGAAATCGCCGGCCTCGACCAGCATCTGGCGCCGGTGGTCGTTGCGAATCCGCACCTTGGTCATTGAGGGCAGGGTTCCCGGGTTGGAGGCGGAGGTGCACATACTCCTTCTGTAGTGGACCCCATAAACATAGTTGAAGGCCTTGACTTAGCAGTAGGCTGCCTTGCAATACCGCTCGGTACTAACCCTGGGGGTTCTGTAGGAGGATATGGTAGAACCGGAAGGGCAGGAGGATGTAGCAGGCCTTGCACGGTAGGCATCATCGAGGGCCTTGCAGGTAAGTCCACACTCATACTTTCATCCCGAATAGGTAGCCCCGAAGCCATAGACCTTGTTTGCACTTCCATGACCTCCAGCTGCTCGCGTAGCATTTGCGCCTGCTGCTCTGCCTCTTCTGTCCTCCGACGCTCATTCTCCAACTTTTCCATCATAGTACCATAAAGCTCGCCCATAGCCCCTTCCAACTGCTTCGAAACCTCAGCCTGTACCACCTCATAAGGTACCGCGGCAGAGCCAGTAGAAGGAGGATTCGACTGTGGTCTCTCCCTCAGTTGATCTTGTGCTGCAGGTGGCGAGGAGGCCACAAACGGTTGCTGAGCCACCCAAGGGTTCTCTCTCCCATGAGCTGGGCTCCAGGTGGTATGCACTTCAACGCGACGTTGTTGAAACAGGTCACCAATCCTCGACATCCAGGTAGCTGCACGAGCCGTAACAGACTCTAAGCCCACGCGTCCAGGTGGCTCTTGCGACGCCGGCGAGGCTCCAGGAAGAGGACTTGGGAAAAGGTTGCCTGCAGATGGCGGTGGTCCAGCTCCAAAGGACGCCTGCCCAGTGGCGGGGCTCACTCCAGGAGCTTCCAGCCCACTTGGCCTGCCTTCAGTCACACTGCTACCCACATTCAATGCAGCTTGCTGAGAAAACCTTGCAGCCACACCAGGTAGCAATGGGCCTTCTGCCGCCATCTCGCACGCCTGATTACTGGAATCGCCTCTATGAACTCCACTCTCAACTGCCGGAGTCGTCGTCGTAGCCGGAGGTGCAGGAGGTGGATGTCCATTAATCTGCGGTGCTCCTTGCAACCCACCCAGATCCTCGGGTTGCACTGGCACAGTGCCATAGTCGGGCCCCTGTGTTTCGCCCTGAAGGCGAGGCCCTTCAGCATATTGGGCGCTCATAACCTGCTGGTG